ACATTTACCACAATGACAAACTGAATGCAGTACGAAGTGCTGTATAAAGTGAATACAGTACGAAGTACTGCAGTACTTGCACCCTGCACAGCCTGCACTCAAAAAAAGTTTCAGCTGTGCAGACATGCGTACTGTACGTTGTACGACTGTGTTCGCTGCTCACAAACCTGTACACGGCCTGCAACTAACCATAAGTACATACAGACCGCTGGCTATTTGTCTGAACGCAATCGGCTTTACTTTTACCTGTCTACAGTACCATACTGCTCATACTGTACAGCATTTCACAGAGTGCAAGGCACTTGCCCCGATAAAAATCTTGGCAGCAAGGGCGTTCAACTGCGTTGGCTGACAAAAAGTGTGTGCTTCGCGGGCAACGGCTCATATGGATTAACGCAGCAACAGCTCTGGCTTTCGCAGTCTCCGAAGGAAACTGCAAGTCTTACTTTTCTTAATCGGAATTTTACCGTCGAAGATTTTATTCTACAGATTTTCTAAGTTACAGCGATGTCTTACAACGTCTCTCGAGCTAACCGCGTCGATGTTTTGGGCGACGACGACCTGTTCCGCATTGGACACGTGGTGGATGTGGCTGCTAACGGGCTCTTCATTGACTTCTTCTGTCCCAACCGACGACGCGAACTCACCCCCTTCAACAAAATTTTCCAGAGTAAGGTATTCTCGAACACGGAAAATGCCCTTGCCAAAGCGTACGTGTACACCAAACCCGGCGAGACCGTTCCCGTGGACGTGCTGATGCCCGGGATGGGCATTGGACCATGGGCCTGGTTCCCTGGAGAAATCGTCAATGTGGGACGTCGTGCTCGCTCTAAGGCGCGCGTCATAGCCGTTGTCTATTGGGTAGACAACGCTGCGTATACGGATCTGGTACCTGTGGAGCGATTGCGTTGGCGAGTGAAGAGCGATTGGTGGGCCACGGTCGGCCGGAAAGCTCCAGCCTATCCGTCATCCAGGAAGGGAAAAGATACTACATTCACTCGGGGTGCCGTTCGCCCTGAGCCAATTGATGCAGCGTCCTTCCAGAAACGCAGTCTGCCCCTGCCCGAAGCCTGCCGTCAAGTCGATATCGATAAGCTCCTCCGGCGCGTAAACGAGAGTGGGCTCTTACGCAGAGTACGACTGTGTTTATATTTCTTTCGTGGATTTAGTGGACGGGCGTGTGTCGTACGTTTGGGAACGTCCGGGCGTGTGGATTCACCGGATGCATGGCCCCATCGAAGACGCGTCTTCTCATCCAAAATTGGTTGAGGTAACCGCGAATTACTACGCTTGCTCTGCTGACAAATCCTTTGTCCCTAGAATACTAACTTATTTTTATACAATTTCGTAACACTTTATAATTATCGTTTCGCAACGTAAACTTCGGCTGCTTATCGTTTTCGTTACGAGAAAAACCGGTATTAATTGCGTTATATTATTCGTATGGATTACAAAAACGAAAATATTTTCGTTCAGCAGTACTAATAATTTATTATTTTTTGTATTTATTATTTATTATCGAAACCATTAATAACCGATTTTCAAGTACCCTTCCGTGACCCTTAGGAAATACCTCGTGTTATTATGGAGCCAGAGGAAGATGCTAGTTTGATATTTACACGTAGTTATTACTAGTTGGCAGTTAGAATAATTTGCTGCTGCTTTTCCGGGTATGCTGCTTGCTGAATGTTACTAGCAGTTGTATTCTCTTCTCGCAGGACATAATCCTTAATTGGGAAAAGGCGTTAGTCTCAATTATCCACGATGCCACCCGCATGTTGACTAAAGAAAGTGCTGCCGCTACAGAGCGCGAAGAAAGCGATAACATCGGTGTACTCTCCGCAAACGTGTTGCGGGAGGTCTTTTCCCAACTGGATACCCCGACTCAGACCGGACTGCGCAACGTGTGCTTCGCGTGGAACAGCATCCTGGAATCACCGGTCCTGACAGCCTGCATCGTGGTTACCGGCTTCGAACGGGAGTGGACTTGGGAGTCGACTCGTCACGAACTGCAGTACTTTGTGACGGCACCGCTGTTCAAATGCCTTCGCCCGTCCACGCAGCACATCCTCGTGGATGCTCGCGACAACTGGATGAAACACGACGATTTCCTAATGCTGGCGGAGGTGATGCACTATGTTGGCCGGGAAACCGGGAGCCGTGTGCGAATGATCCATTTTGTGGGATTCCGCTTGCACTTGCAAATCGGCGGCCATGGTGGCTTTGAATTTGATGCAGACAATGAGGATCAGGATGATGATGAGGAGGATGAAGACAATCAGGGCTATAGCGATAAATGCCCAATGCACCGCGACAACGCTGGCAAGACCAATGATTTCAACTACCGTTTGGTCGATTTCATCGCCGCCTGTGGGGATCTGCCGTGCGATGCCGTCCAGCTGGTGGACTGCGCTTTGGTTCTGGATTTCGCTCGGCTGAACGAAGTCGAGCTGTTCGTTCGCCTGCCCGCGGCTCGGTTGGCGGTGGATGGGGATGTGGGCAGCGCGGTGTGGGCCGCACTGGAGCAATGCGTGCCGATGCCGAGCAACAAGCAGATGGGCATGCTGTCAAAGTGGCTGACATCCCTCACCGTAGAGGAAACCAAGCCTCTGACTCTAATTACTGCAATGCGAGCGTCCTTCATTCGTAATGAACGGGAAGTGTTCTGCAAGGTGAGTGCGGTTCTTCGAGTTACGTTTTTCCATTTTGAACTTTTTATATCAGGTGAAGTCCGAATATTTGCATTTTCATAAAATATTAGTATTACTGAGCCTGTGTGGGCCAGCGCGGCTTTAATCTAAAAACAGTATCTGAATAAAAAAGTGAATTTAGCAGTTGAAGGGGGTGGCGCATGGCTTCGCGCCAGCTGCGCCAGTTGGAAAAGGGCCGAAAATTTGAGGAAAATCGTAGAAAAGTGGCTTTTTGAGCTGGTTTATAGCGCCTTTAAAGACGGGCCTGATTAAACCGATGCAACGGGAGCGCTTCCAGTAGGCGCATCTCAGCCAGTGTTGAATTCGAACTGATTTTCGAAATGCTTTTTTGTCCATCATGATTCATGAGTGAAAACGAAGCATCTATCTTTTTCTTCGTTAGTTGATTGCCCGTATGGTAAATCGTAGTACGTGAAAATGTAAATCGTAGTACGTGAACTACGGATTAACCGATTCGATCCAGTCTACCCGACTATAATTATGCGGTTAAGAATTCTAAGGCAGGTATTCAGATCGGTGTTGCCTTGTAGGCACTGTGCGCCACACAGTCGGCAGATCCGCGCCCATCCCTGCATTACCGTGGCAAGCAGTGGTGTGTTGACGGCGTGAAGGATCTGCAGTTGGAGAAACTATCGGCGGTGGCGCTGAAGCTCTTGGTCGAGCTCATGGAGCATTTAAAGCCGTCGTCAGTTTTCTATGACGACGACTCGGACGACGGTTCCGGCGGCCAACCGATGGATGACGAGTCTGATTAGCCTTTGAAGTCCGTTTCTTCTTGGTAGAATAATGTGCCGGGAATTTCATTCGTGTTTTTTTTGTCTTAGATAAGCGCTATAATTTTTGCGCTGCCCTTTTTTCATGTGTTTCCTCCGGCGTTCAGTATAATTATACTACCTTAATGCGGCGGAATAACTATCAACATTTGTGCGGTTGTTTTTACCATTGCTGTGAGTAAGCAGATTTCTGTTCGTTTTTGTATTGTTAGATCTGACTGGAGTGTCGTTCCGTACAAGTGAAACTAACTCAAGTGACGTAAAAGTCAATGAGATACGGTATTCTCTATTTGTAACAAAATCATTAATACCAGTGAAGCCCGCTGTAAAAGTCAGAGGAAGGACTAGTGTAACCGTCCAAAATGTGCAATGAATGCACCAGTCTGCCTCCCGAATACTCAGAACTTGTCAAAACGATTTAAGGTACTGTACCCTAACCCTGCACTTGAAGGAAATTTGTACGCTATGAGCGACACGGTGCTGTATAGCCGGATAAACATTCAACCAATTCACGTTTAAACACGCACTAGCTGCAAGCCGCGTATGTGAATGGTGAATGGGCTCGTACAAGTGCGTGTGGCTGCACTGTACAAATTTCCTTCAAGTGCAGGGTTAGGGTACAGTAATTGTACTGTAGAATTTATTCGCACTTGATCATGTCGAACCGAACAAGACTGAAAAAGTCATACATCTGTTCAAACCGCTTCAGTTTAGCGAGGCTAATTCCTAACCGGAACTTTAACGGACAGGGACACCTGTTAAAAACTCAGATATGTCATACGTGTTTAAGCTGTCTTATGATCTTTAACTGACGAAGCGGAAACGATATCTGCATACGTAGTAATAATAACATCAAACGATCGAAATTCTTGACAACCACGCACTTTTAAATTGTCGGACTCGGATTCGCTGCTGGAGTCGTTGGTTTGTTTACCGTGAGAACTGTCTTCAGGCACGAATCCAGGACATGTAGTGCGACAAGGCCCGCTGGCAGAATCGGTTCAGTTTCTTCAGGTCCACCTCGATTACATCGTCGACAGTCCACTGGCGTCCGCGATAATATGTATGCTGACGGACGCGGATCACAGGATTGATATTCCTGTAGAATCTGCAAAATTTTACCGTACGTTACCGGTTAAACAGAGTTCGTCGAATCGAATTCGACACCAGCAAATAAGAGCAAAGGTCATTTCAATCTACTGAAGAGTTAATGAGTTATCGAATTTGTTTGAAAAAGGCGTTCCCACGAATTCCAGAATTTTGAAATCCACAAGTTCAATTTCAAATGCCCGGAAAAAGTGAATGAAAGTCTGGTTCGAAAAAGCAACGGTCTTAAGTGCTTAGATAACGATAATATTCAAAAATTGATAGAAGATAATCGGTGGTTGCTGAATTTTTTTTTTCGAAAAACATAAAATCTGCATCCTGCCGTTTAGTGTCAAGTGGCACGTCAATACCTGCATTACTCTCGTGGCCTTAAGTTCACTGTCGATCCAATCGGTCGTGCCATGGGGAAGGCGCAAGTGCGGGCCAGTGAGCAGTGGCTTCTCACAGGTCAAATGCTTCTCGAATAGGTCCACGATGTCCGCCTCATCCACATGCCCCGGATGAAAACGGCAGCGGGAATGCGGAACTCCATGGCGGGCACGGCTTTCGTGCCTAACAGCGTCAGGGTATAATCTTTCCAGATCATACGATCACAGCACGACACCAGCCGGGATATCTCGGCAGAAAGCACGCTGAATTTCCATGGAGCAGGATGGCTGATCATGATGTTTCGCTGGTGCACGATGAAACGATGGACACGGATGCCGGCTTCATTCACGACCTTCTTAATTAAGCTAAGCTCTTCAGTACTCCCGTGCTCTGTCCCACTGTGGAGGTACCGCGGTTTGGGATCGCGAATGCAGATGGTGCGCGTGGCGGGCGTGATGTACTTGAAGATGCAAGCGTACATGGCGTAATTACTGTCCCAGTGCGCTTGTGGTGAAGCGTTCGAGTGGTTCGGCGATATACGCAAATCTTGCGCCAGTTCCGCCGATGCGAGCAGGGCTTCAAACAGTTGACAGGTGCGGCGAGAACGCTGGCGATCGATGGTGTCCAGAGAGTGGAAGATCTCCTTCAGTACCTCCAACGGCAACGCCAAAACGGTTTCAATGGCACGTACCAGCTTTTTCTGCTTTGGCTCACCATCAGCGGCCTCATGGGTTTCCCTGGGTAACTGATCGTAAAAGGCAAAACATTGTCGGCCTTTTTTCGAACATCATCGCCTGTGAAGGAGTATGAGGAGCCTCAAGATACGACAGAAACACCCAGACTAAAAAAGGGCTTACCAGATCTTCATCCCGCAGACACTCATTCTGGCGTCGTCGCACAAAGTGCATTTTCTGACTGAGAACCGTGACAAGCCGTACAGCGAACATTCGCTCAACTTCTCGTAGCAGCAATGCCGATTCAGCCGACGGTAGTGTCCAGTAACCATTCGGTACACGGCACGTCTGCATGACGAAATGGTCCGCAGAAAGGAGTCCTTTTCTGACAGCTGTACTACACAGGTCCCGAATCTGTCGTCGACGAAGCAGTTCCCGACGACGCTGCCCATCCGTTATCACCTCCACCATCGCCGCAGAGTCCAGATCACGGAACCCGCTAATCAGCATTTTCGCGGGACACCACGTCCATGGGCGATCCGGACCATCGTGCAGCAGCACCTCCACAGCTGCGCCTCTGCATCGTTTGGTGGATCGATAGAGGGAACAGTCCCATATCTTTCCGTACGGAACCGGCACCGCCTGCTGTGTCGAGCATCCGAAATCGACAATCGCACGGGCCGGAGTGTTTTCCGTCTCTTCCAGTCCGATGACGTAGCCGTGTTGCAGGTGACCGCCAATCTCCACATCCACGGCGTTCCATGTGTGTACAGATCGCTCTTCATTTTCGTATAGATGCATTCTTGTTTTATCTGGCTCAGTCAGAACAGGAACAACTAACAAGGATCAGTGTTGTTTTCTTAGCGCTCCCAGACGACGCAGAAAAAGAGAAATTGGTACTGACACTGAGCTGAACTGAAAGTGATTCGATGTTAGTGTAAAGCCAAACGTTTAAAGGAGGAGCCAAGCCAAACGGCTTCAAGTTGCCTCATAACGCATCACGCTCGTGCGAGGTACCGTTTAGTTTGCTGTAGTTCCAGACGAGCAGTGCTACCGATTTTATCATAGCTTTAATTTGCTTACAGAACCAATAGTTGTGAGATAACTTTTAGGTTGCTGGATTAGCTTTTACTCGACTGTGCATGTTGATTGACAAAGGTACTGTACTGAGCGTACTACTGAGCGTTTTCAACGGGTTACAATTTACCGTCTGGTACTTTACAGTTTACAGTAATGCAGTTTTGAGTTGGCATCAGTTTTCAGATATTGCCTCGTTTTTCTGCCGTAGTCTCCCAGCCAAAACAAATTAAAATGCACTTGTATGAAGACGCTGAAAGATCGGTGTACGCCTGGAACGCTGTGGATGTGAAGATTAACGATCGGCTGCTGCACGGTCACGTCATTGGCCTGCGAATTGCCGTAGGATATCCGGCGTTTTTGATCGTCGATTTTGGTTGCCCGCCACAACGGCCCATGGCAGTTGAATACGGAAGCGTTTTCGACTGCTCTATCGAAGACTACTATCAAGCACCCGCCGGCGCTGATGTTGAGGTGCTGCTGTGCGATTACCCCACACGTACCTGGACATGGCAGCCCGGCAGGATTCTCGTAGACCACTTCATGAATTTTTGGCAAAATGCCAGGCTGGTGCAGGTGGATGTTGCTGGACATGACCAGTGGCAGCTGCTTCCCACAAGCCAGATCCGTCTTCCCGCTTCAGTGGAAGGACTGCAGCGAAAACGTCTTAATCCAGGACATTTTGCAATTCGGACACGCACACTGCCTGGCGGCTACTGGACGCTGCCGCGACCTGTGTCAAAGCGCTTTGTTGAACTGCTTCAACGTTACTTCCAGCTGCGGGTGGTGCGTGTTTTCAGTCGGGACATACAATACGTGCAGCGGCGCGACAATGATTCCTGGAAGGATGAAGTTGCAGTAAGTCATAACAGAAGTTTTGGTTTCATGTTACGTTATTGGCTTCGCTTGAAATAAGTAGTTGGGATCGCCACGGTGTAAGCTGCCTATGAAAGTGGTTAAGGAAGTGCATATAGTAGTGTCGCATTTTTTGGGCACTCAGTTTTTGGTAATATCCTCTGCTTTCGAGTGATCCATTTTTATGTAGCTCTTCCCAACGAATAAGAACTACCGTAATCGGACATATCACTACTTACAGAGAGCTGCATGTCTGCTGAAATTTAGACTTGTCCGATAGAAGTAGCACAGTTTAGTACTTCGATGTTTTTTGTTTCGGTACACAGTACGCTGGAGACGCGGTATTCTCAACGTTTCTCCATATTAAAAACTTTGCATCAGTCTCGTGTACAGGCTTGTACAAAGACAATAAGTAGCACGTGATCAATTTTTAGACAGTGCTTGTCATATGGAATAACGCATGTCTTTAGTGTACGGTACGCGAATTCGGAAAATATCCGCAAAACAAGAAACGTCCAAATACTAGGAGTATACATACCGTACAGATAACCGGTGCTTCCTCATTTGTCGTTCTTTTAAATATAGTCCGCGTTTTTGGAGTGTTTGCGGCAAAACCACGTTTCTAAATGCCTGCTCGCAAATTTCGATGAGCCAGAAAAAGAACCGAAACACAAGAACCTACTCAACGGTGATGAACGCGTTTGGGCGTTGCCATTGGAACTGCTGAAGGAAAGTCTTCCTGTCACTGGACACACTCGACCGGCAGCGCTGTCGACGCGCCTGTCAACTATGGGAGGCCATTCTCGATTCGGCGGAACTGTGCAGAGATGTTCGTGTGTCGCTGGCACCGCTGTTCAGCAGGGCGAAGCGTGGGAAGCGTCTGTGGAAAGCTGAGTACGCGGCGTACAGTTGTCTCTTCGAGCAGATCCCACCGGCCACCCGCACTGTCTCCATTTGCGATCACCATGCCCATTTTTCCGATCTGCCGGAGGATAACACCAATGTGGATGATGCGGTGGGACTGGTTAATGGTTAAGAGAAGGCTGGACACGGTCGGTATCCGTATCGACCGTTTGATCCTGCACCGGCGCACGACAACGATCTACGAGTGGATAATAATGACAGACAGCCCATTACCGCTGAAAATGTTCTTCGCGAAGGCTGCCGAACAGCTTGCGCGACTGATATCCTGCTGTGTCCGCGTGGTTTGGAAGGAGTATACTTTGAAATGGGTACAGATCGATGATAAAGCCTTTATGGACTGCATTATTCCGTCTGCAGTTCATGTTCTGAGCAAGGACCTTGACGACGCTAAGGTTCAGGTGTGGGATGTGTTGGAGAGGCATTTGTGCTGCACGGAACCACCGTTAAATATGGAACACATTGCGCATCTGATTGATAACAAAACGATGGCCAGAGGAGTGAAAAAGGTGCGGTATAAACTATTGAAAAGGAATAAATAAGCTGTAGCGTAATTAACGGGCCGTACCGGATTTCATAATACCGTGGTGCGATAGCCATTTGAATAGGAAGGTATGGAATTTCCGAAAAGATAAAATTTTCTGACTGCCAGCTTTACTTACACTCAGATCCCCGCAGGCGGTGGCAGCTAAGTTTATAACTTTGTAAACATTTTTTAAACAATACCAGAAGAAACAGTATACTGTATAAACATAAGATGGCGTCGGTTACGTCATAAACTGGAGTTGGGAGCTGGACTTTCTAGTTACAATTCCCGGTTGTACTTTGTACTTGCAGCTCCCAACTGCAGCATATGATTCAGCACAACTGCAGCATATGATTACTGCATATGTACACTGTATAGAAGTACACTAACTAATTTACTCACTTACTGATAATCACACACACACACGCTGGTGCATCTGCTGTGCATACCTCAAGGATGCTCGCAGCCCAGATGCAGCTACCTGTGCAGCCGTGTTGCACGCGTACAAGTGGTTGTTTACATTCTTTACCGCATGGAGCGGCATTGGCACATTAGCGCAACTGGCTCGTCAGCGATGGTGCTGCATACCATGCGCGTCTCTTATTGATTGAAAACACTTATAGTAATGCTGCGCACTTATAATATACAAATTATTTGTCAACTTATCGAGTAGTTTAATTGCTTAACTGGATTGTGCACGGCTTATATATAATTGTGAAACTTGACATGCGCCCAATGGTTGGAGTACTGTACGGATGGATGGATGGTACTGTACTATATGGATACTACTGTACACTGTACAGTTATATTGGTTTACTTTCACTGCTTGATTCAACAAGTTGTTTACATTCTTTTACAATATGGAGGAGCATTTTAACGCATCTGGCTCGTCAAAGCCTTTCAACGCATAGTAAGCGAAATATAATTACTTTTCAGTGGATATTACTAGCTGCTCTATTCTCAATTTATTTATACATATATAATCATGGAAACTAACAGGTACGATGGAATATTATCTTCTTTATTACTGTACATTATGCCTGTAGTGTGTAATCAATTTTGACAATTATTTGCAGTCTACTGCGTGCATGCTTATGCGTGCGTGCAGATCAACTGGAAAAAGTCCGCCAGGGTCGCTGCAAAATTTTTTCCACTGGAGCCAAAGCCACATTTCTGTTAACGATTCTCCGCTAATTGCAGAATTTATGAATTTCTTGTACACGAAGTAAGTGGTAAGTGTTTTAGTTTATATTACGTTGTAACCCATGCTGTATTTGTCATGTGTACATAGTTTCGGGGCTGCTATAAACAACGAGGGTTTGAGTGGAAAAAGTTGGCCTGAACTTCTCAAAGAATTTTCCACCTTGTCAACGGTATGGCGTATGTAATTTGCTGATTCCGCAGTTTCCTGATTACAAAAATTATTATTATATGCTTGTATGTTTGCTCAATGCTTTTATAACAAAAAAATACATTTCGTAATAAAATCTAATTATCATAATTAATGAGTAATGTATTGTACAGTATTGCACTGTATATGTAGTATGTACCAGATACTTTTAAGGGTAAACGTTCTTTACATTTCTTAATAAATTTAGCACTAATGCTTTGTAATGCCAGGTAACAGAAATATGCAACGATAGCTTTTTTGTAATTTTATTTACTGCTGCATTTAGGTTCCTAATAACAGGCGCAATTCGTTTTCAGCAGTGAAGAAGAGTATCAGCATCTTTTGCACCTAATAAATTAATTTTTCCAGAATGGAAAATCATCGCCGTACAACCTTGAAGCCGGACTCGCATGGCCGGAAATATTTAAGGTTCAAACATGGCATCAGCTTTTGCTCTTATTGAGTTGTATAATTTCTCTAAACTAAGAAATTTCCCAAAATTGAAAGTGGCGACAATGTTAACAATTCTTGGATTCTTTAACGATGCTTTTTTGATAGCCGTATTTTTTGCAGTTTCCGGTAATAGTGATCCAATAACGCGAGAGCATCACTGATGGACTTTGCACCATTAACTGTGATCTTGCCGTTGCGGTACACTTGGCAGTGCGATTTGTAAGGACGAATGGAACGGAGAAGAAGCCCGGAAAATTTATGTGGTGCATAATGAGAAAGCGGAGCGTTCGGATAAGCTGGGTAAGTCAATTGCGCAGCCAAAGACCAGCAGTTGCAACAACGTTAGTTATTTTCGCCATTCAGCCAATTTGCAAATGTCTCCGCTTTTGAAAGCGTTGTTTGTGGTAATGAAGTAAGCTCCTTAAACTTCGGGCACCCAATGTCTTCAAGATTAAACACTTCAGGCAAATAATTTTCCAAAATCTTTTGCTTTTCCAATCCTTTGGCAAAACGTCAAACGCGCAGGTCGTTCACCAATAAGCTCCAGCATATCCTGAATCGCCCTGGCGATGTCCAAGTATAGATAATCTCCACGATTATGCCAGACAAGTCCGTGAGTGACGCGATTGGCTCCTAAATTCAACGCGGTAACGATTAAAGTGGATGGAATGGTGAATGTGTAGCACCTGCTAACACTAGTTGGGCAATCACAAAATGCCAGCTGTTTTATAAGCCGTTGGGAGCCAGCGATAAACCAATCAATATCTAAGACAACCTCCGCTTTGAAGTCTCCATTCTGTTATCGGTACGCTAGCAATAGCTCCGCCCTTTGGAAATGGATTCCTTAAATAGGTATCCGCGCACGACAGCTGATTTGAGATTCCGACTACCCGCTTCAGTCCTTGTTGTGGGGCCAACGACTTCGGGGAAAACGACATATGTGTCAAAATTAATTATGGAGCGCGATAAATTATTTGACCAACCATTTGGACGAATTATTTTGGTGTACGGAGAAATGCAGCCAGCCTACGAAGTGCTTCAGCGCAAAGTCCCTTGGATTGAACTGACAAAAAATATTCAACAAATTGTGGAGGATGAAAATTATTTTGATGGTAAACAAAATATTTTGTTGATACTGGATGACGTGGCAAGTGGTTTGGTGAAAATGAGCATTTGGCTAAACTCTTCACTCAAAAGTACACCATAAACGGCTTTGTGCATTTCTATTATTCAATAACCTATATAAACAAGGGTCTGCTATGCGAGACGTGCATCTTAATGCACAATATCTTATACTGTTCGAAAATAATCGTGATGTGAACCAAATCAAGATTCTAGAAAGGCAGACTGGTTTAAAACATCTCAGCGGAGCTTACGAGGAAGTCGGCCAGGAACCATTTCAACCTCTCATTTGGATATGAAACCGGACACACCTGCCTATTTAAGGATTCGTTCAGCAATATTGCCGGGAGAGTTGACTAAAATTTACATTAATCCACATACGACAAACTTGCCCAAGAATGTGTGATCAGATTTTAAAAGACTTTGCACCGTTTCTCCTTACCCTGCGATCGCTGAAACCCAAGCAGCGTCGTTTTCTTTTGGAAAATATTTCGAAACGACAACTTCGCTGTTTTGAAGAAATTTGTTTGAATTTGGTAAAGAATTCAGTGCCTCTTACCACCGATCAGCTAAAGGTGTGTCAGCGTTGGCGTCGACCATTAAAGCTGATTGCCCTCAAAAATATCCTTTACGAAGCAAGAGGGAAATTTTATTACAGCGCGGAGGATTCTTACCGCGGTTCTACCTGTATTGGCAGCTGTTTTGGGAACTGCCTTACTGGAAATGAAACCGGAAGTGCATTATATTGTTCCCGCGAGCGAAATGAAAAGACTTGCAAGTGACACGGTTGGTCGTATTGTAACGGATGTCCAATTACAACAGCAGCCTACGAAGTTGTGGATATTGTAAAACTGACGATTTGATGAGAGATATAATTTCACGGAATACGCTAAGCGAATGGGAGAAAGCGGAACTGTTATCAAGAAACTTGGCTCGCTTTTGGCGCTGAAAGAGTCGGCGTTCGGCCCTGACCAAATGGTTATTCCGCCTCCAGCATCTGTGCCCCATTCCAGTACAACTATTAAAGAAGCCGTGGGTACCCCTAATATGCCTGATCGTATGTTAGATGCTTTCCTCCTATTCCACCTGCACCCCGGCAAAACGCAAGCGTGCAAAGCGAGAAGTATTTGATGAAAACACTTTACAAATCGAAGGTCCCATCGGTTCAAGAACCAAATCCCAGTTCAACGGATGACTATTAATAACAAATGAGTGGTGGTGGATGCGTTCTCTTTGTCTTTGGGTGAAGGTATGACATGGAACTGCACATCTAGCTGTTGCGATGGATCAAGCAGTAGCGACGACGAATGATGGCCAATCTACTGCTACGACAAGCGTATCTGAACCCTCAGCACCCGGGCAGCTTAACAGGGATTCAAAAGTTTCGCAGCCACTTTCCACAAGCACCAAACTATCAACAAACGCGGGAACAGCTGGAGCATCTGGATCCATATACAGTCCACAAATCTCGACGCAAAGGTTCAAAAGAAACCCCGTAGTTGTCTCAAACCTATGGAGCAATATCAAGCCGATCTGGCAGACATGTCAAAATATGCGAAGCAGAACAAAGGATACCGTTGGATATTGTTTGTGATCGACGTCTTCAGCAAGAAAGTGAACTGTCAACTACTAAAGAATAAAAGCGGTCTAGAAGTAAACTTGGGTTGGAAAAGGTGTTTGCAGAACTCGGAGCTCCCATTAAATTGCAAACGGACAAAGGTCTTGAATTTTACAATAAGGATGTTAAGAGTTTTTGACAGCCAAAAGGTTTTTGTTCTCTTCGAAAATAAAGCAATCAAAGCATCCTTAGCTGAAAATGGCATACGCAATCTCAAGAAACGAATATGGAAATTATTTCGACACCGACAGTCTAAAGTGTACTGGGACGTTCTGGGAGATTTGTAAACAGTTACAACAACGCAATTCATTCTTCGCATAAAGTCACGCCTAATGAGGTTAGCTAGTCCAATTCTCTGCAAATATTCAATCGACTATATGCAGAATTATTAAAAGCAGAAAAGCCAAAGTACAGCGTAGGTGACACAGTACGAGTAGCCATCGACAAAACACTTTTGAAAAGGATATGAGTCAACATTTAAGGAGAAATTTACAAGATACACCAAGTATTACCACAACAGCCCGAGCCCCTCTACGTATTACTGATGAAGACGGGGACTTAATTCTGCGGGAAATATTACGAAGCCGAACTCAGTCGTGTCAGAAATGGCTCATAATAGCTTTTATGTCACGCTTCCATCTGATGCCTGTATGCAACAGTTTCCCAAAGAATAATGCAGCTGAATGGACCACAAAGTTAAAGAGCGTGATATCGCTACCGGGACAATGGGAAATGGCATTGGTGGAAATACAGTATCCTAATTCAATGTACAATTTACCCAGTCCCCAAACGTTGCACGTTGACCAAATTACTTCTATGGATAGCAACGGTGTTTTCGCTATGGAGGGACACAATTACGGTACCTGCAGGATCTATGAGAAAAGTGACATCATTAATTTTATCAACAGTAAAAGTACCACGGTTAAAGCCATTTCATGATTCTACAGCGAAAGAACAGGCGGCTTTCCAACTAGAATTATTTGCAACCGAGCCCAAGCTCAAAGTGAAATTTCCCAGCGTACGTGTTTTCTGGATTTTCCTCCCCATCTTTGCATCTATCCCGTATGCTTGGATTTAAAGAACGACGATTTTCTGCTGCACAGTCTGAACAATATGAAAATTTTTAATGGAAAAACGAATTTTGCTTCCGCAGCTACAACACTGTCCGACCAGCTGAAAGCCCTGGCAGAGTTGCAACTGTTGGAGACGTCTATAACAATGACAGCAGATAAGCCCGTAAATATGCACATTGGGAACCAGTCAATTTTGTCTACTGCAACAAGTGCGACTACAATATTGTGGGCGATGAAACTATGCAGCTTTTGCGCGCTTTCCCCATTAAAGCAAGTGTTCCTCGCTTCGAAATTGTTTCCGAAAGGTTTGAGGATCCACATTATTTACCTGTTTTATACGATCGACTGGACACTATTGATATCAACATTGCAACTGATCTCGGAGAAGCGGCAATTTTCAGACTGGAAAGTCAATGGTAAAGCTGCATTTCCGCCCCATTCAGTATTATATCGCTAAAAAATGCCCGTAATCCTCTTTGAGCCGTCACCATCGTTCTATCTGGATTTATTTGCGGGGGCCGCCACGGGCGCTAGTAGCCAGCACGGCTATGGAGCCGTCGCGACACGCTATCGCGGGAGTTTAATGCAAAATGGCAGCGGATTTATGCTACCTAATTTCTGCGCGCAATGTTTAGTAAATTAGCGCATTTTGCTGCCCCGGTTATTAAAGCAGCGGCACCATGCCAGAGCAGCAATGGAAGCAGCAAAGCTCCCACTTACGCGACGCAGCGACAACAGTTTTAAGTGAAACATCCAAGAAGGTAGGAGAAAATTTCGGAAGCGTTAACTGCGCAACCTCAACAGCAAGGAGGCATCAAACGGCTCAAGCAGCAGCACAAGAGGACAAAAGATAAAGAAACCTTCCTTCCGACTTAAACGGCTTAAACGGATTCCCCAAGAGAATTTGAGGACGCATTTTAAAATGGCTTTTATTTTGGAAGGAAGCGTGCCAGCTATGCAGGTCGAGTCGGATTTATTCTCCGTTCCGGCCACTCTAGCGGATTTTGTGCGGACAGAAGAAGAACGCATTCTACCAACATCAGGGCAAACAGAAGAAATTAGTTCTGGAGAAATTTCCTTTTACATTCCCCTTCAACGTCGGCGCTGCTAGTGCTACCGAAATTACGCTAGAAATGGATATTGCAATCAAAAGCAAATTGCAGGACTTGGTGCGGCTACGCATATTGAAACACGGATCTGGTAGCACCAGTGAACTTGATTGCGCATTCTATATTCAGCTCGGTAGAGGTAACAATGGCCAACCGCCTGATAACTAATTCCACCCATTATATGCCTACCGAGCGTACTTGGAAAATTTGTTGGGGTACACACCGGCTGCCCTAAAAAGCCAGGCAACAAGTGCTGGATTTTATATAGACACTCGGGTACCTGAAGATCATGCCAATAACGCTGGAGAAGTAACGCGAAAAGCTATGTTTGTGACCAACGAGTACGTCCCGTTC